CGGTGTGCCCCTTCAGGCGGCATTTATGAAAACCCTTCACACTCCACGTTGTCGTTATCACCCCCTTCACCCTTGTACTGGAAATGTTGACCAGAGTCTGTCATATTGATACATAGTCCTTCCCTCGGTCCTATGAGAGTCTTCCTCTTGCCCCGTAGAATCCAAATATTTGCTTATAGATGAGCCGTTGAACGTGAAATGGGTCCTTCTTATTGTTAGGCTGATTAATTGGGTTAGAAACTCTTTACGCATTCGCTCTATCTCTAGGATGACATTTTATTTTTCCGAGATCTCTAGTAGTGCGTTAAGAGCTTATTTTCCTGTGCGGTAATGTATATAGATTGTAGTTCAAAGCTCGCCAAGAGTTCGTTTCCTTCCAACTTTGCGCCTTTGATTCTTTGACAAAATTCATATGAGTTCTTGACTGCATATGATAATCTGTCATTCACTTACTTTAATTTGGGGCAAATAAATTTCACCAATTTAAGAGGCAAGTCTCTTCTATAGATCGAAAGGAGATTGCGACCAAAATAGAGGCTACAACATTTTGTTATTTATATCCACCCCTAATCTTTATGCTTGGATGCAACGTTCCGTTATCTGGAAAACGGGTTTTGAACAAGTCTCTTGTGTGTCCTGTAGGCTTTTTAGGACCATACTCAGTATTATTCCAATCTTCATCCCATAAGTATGGTTTGATTAGAAGTTAAGAGTTATTCCAGCATGCAATTTTTTTCGAAAAAGTCTCTTCTGATTTTGGTCTTTTGGCAGCGGCCAATTCACAATCCGGTAGGAAAAAAAGAGGAGGGCAGAATGTAGGTCAGAAACCCTGTAAACGGCATCTGGTAGTGGTGGTGGAAATTATTATGCTTCCATAAACCCTCTTGTAGCTACACCCTTTTGGGCGATATTGGAGGAAATGAGAGCACAGAATTGTGTGAATAAGTGGATGAGCCATATGAAGTGGGGTTGAGAGAAAGAGATGCGGCAATAGTGTGTAGAATAAAAAATAGGGACGAGGAGTAAAGCCACAACGGTTGAACAGAAAATTGGTCAAAGAGATTGCCTTTACTTGTCCCTTTTGATAAGTTGAAACTCTGTGCTTACGATGACCCTTCTCACTGACAATCCCGTATGATGATTCTGACGAAACGTTTAGAAATGTGTCCAATCAATGGCCCAATGCTTGAAATCACGCATTTTATGGCAGAGGACACGGGACTAAGTACGTTCCACAAGGTCTTCCTGACACTCCGGTCAAGTTGCGAAAAAAACATCGAACCAACACTATAAAGCTATAGGAGACTGCGACCAGAGGGCCACACCATCTTGATCTTCATATCTACGATATAAGAGGCGTATATCTGGACCGATTATTTAATTGCTTCGTCAACAGGGCAAACGTAATGGATTCATCACAGGTCATTGCGACCTTTTATTCAATAGTCAAGTTAGTTGAGTTTTGTTTCCCAGGACGTTACTGGTATGCTCACCATCTTCTGATCATGTGGAATGAGGCTCTTCGATTGTGAAGAAGACTTGCATATCATTGTCGTGATTTGAACTTAGAAGCTTCTCTCCGTTGTAATTGTTTGTATTCAAGTAAAATAACAAAATAGCTTATTTGAAGGCATGAAGACCAAGATGGTGTGGCCTTTTGTGTGGTAGCAGTCGCCTTTCGTTGTATATAAGTTGTTTGACTTTGTTTTCGCAACTTGGTCATATTGGTAGGAAGATTTAGAGGAACACACCTAGTCCGGAGTCCATTGTGTGCATCATCATTTCCAGAGTAAGACAGTGGACGTGGTACATTCCCAGACGTTTCGCCGACATCCTAGTTGGCATCGTAGTCGGAATTTTCAGTGAGTTTCGCCATTCGTAGCACCATACTACAACTCGTCAAAGAGACAAGTCTATGACCGCATCAAATGGGTCACATAAAATAGGCTCCCCTCTATGGGCCGATATGGGATTCTTTTTTCCCCAATGGAGAAATGAAAAGCCCTTGGCGGTCAATCGAGTTTGTATATGCTAAGCGTGATCGAGGGCTCAGATACCTAAGACCATTCGGGTCTTAACGCCATTGATTTGATCCTGTAAAAAGCTTATCTAAACTTCACATGGCTGCTGATGACTTTCCGGGGCGTAGTTTTATGGCCTGTCCTCCTTTGAGGGTCCTGAAGTTCAGATTCAGCTGAGATTAACTGAAGAATTGGTGCAAGTTTCTGAGAACGTATGGCGTCAAGCTGACAAGGATAGGAAATAGCACGCATGGCTGTCTAATATCGATAAAACATCATAATTAATCGTAAACTGACAAAAATATCCTCTCGAATTTCATGTGGCAGATATTGAGATGCCATGTGAAACCTTAGATGGAGCTAGATACACCATAGACACTTCTTTAGCCAGAGGTGCCACTTGGAGACATTCTGAGCTCACGATATGACAATAAAAATACTATAAGTATCTAAGATTTATGACGTGAATAAATCGGTGTAGCAGAAAGAAAAGTGCTGCTTCATTATAATTTTTCGAAAAAAATACTTCCAAAAGATTAGGCTCAGCTTACTTAACAGGAACAAGCATGAACAAAGAACTCGCACCTGTCCTAGCTCATGTGCATAGTCTTGAACAAACTCAACTGTACTAAAGGTTACTGCTCCTAAAAAGGAACACCTACAAAATCCTTACTTGCACTTTTAAGTTGAGCCATAACTTAGGTGAAAGTCAGGCTTGGACAGTCTATGCGAAAAGGAGTAACTCCAGTATACAGAAATAAAAGTTGGGTTTCAAAGAATCATGCAATAATTTGATGTGATTTGATTTTTCATTTAGGGCGAAACCTTGGTTGGAAGAGATTTTTTACTAAGCCTCAGAGAAAGCAGAAGTGGAGACTGTTTAGTTAAGCAAGTAAGATCTCGGCTCACTTTCCAGGCACCCTGATTCATGCTCATCCTTCGTCTGTTCAGTCGTGACAGAATTCTTCAGACAGAAGCCATAATTATAGAAAAATTGGGTTCCAAAGAATCCCTTAATATATTGATGTAGGGGTATCTTTCCATTAATTAGAAGAGGCGAGTGAAAGGGATTCGCAAGTTGGTTCCATCGGAAGCTGTGAGGGGTTGCCTTAGAGCTGCGGTTATAGATTTGTGCGAAAAGGTCCTCAGCGCACCGCCCTGCGACCCCAATGAATCCTTGCTGAGCTTTTCTCCGTCACATGATCTATTCGCACACATCTACAACCACAGCTCCAAGGCAACCCTCCCACAGCCTCCGGTAGAGCCAACTTACGAATCCCTTTCACGTGCCTCTTCAAACGAAATGAAAGGTACTCTAACAGAAAATATAATTGACTAAAAAATATGCCAAAACACAAAGCTTTCTTATTTTATTTTCCTTCGTGACTTAACAGCTCAAGTATTTAATGAAACGGGTTGACCTCGTTTTCGCAACTTAATCTTGTTGTCATGGTAATTCGTTGATTGCACCTTATCCGAAGTCCTTTGCCATAGTAGTTATCATAATTCCCAGCATCAGACCGTGTATTTGTTACATTCTCAGACGTTTCTTCGGCATCATCAGTGAGTCTTGCCATTCCCTGCACCAAGCTATAACTCGTCAAAGAGACATGCAAAGTCAATCCTTCCACGTTTTGACGAGTAGTTTTTATAGGGCGGGAGTTGGATAAGAGGATAAGGAGTAAAAAGATGAGTCAAGACAGAAAGAGGAATGATAGTGCAACCGTTCCGACAGAACGTTGTTCGAAGAATTGACTTCGCTTGTCTCTTTTACGAGTTTGCAGCTTGTTGCGGAGAATGGCAAGACACACTGATGATGCCGACTACGATGCCGGCGAAAAGTCTGAGAATAAACCAAGTGAACAGTCTGATGCCTTATTTACTTCTGGATAAAAATTTAAAAATTTGCCAGCAATAATATTTTTTTCCGAAAAAGTTTCGATGACTTAATTTATACCCTCAAGTCGGCTCTAGTACATAGATCGTGCTCATCCCCGTCGAAGACAATTTTTTAACCATGATAAGATATATAGAGAGAGAGAAAGAGAGAGAGAAAGAGAGAGAGAAAGAGAGAGAGAAGTAACCAACTCTTTTCTCATGCATGATATCCAAATTAATCCCTATCTGGCGCTTGGCCGGATTTCGCGGGTTTCAGCCGGCAAACCGGCCAATTACCCATCCATCACCGCAACAATCCAAAGGGCCAGCCGCACAGCAGGCCAAGAATTCTACACGCACCAGTTAGATACGACCAAGGTCACGGCCAAGTGGAAGGCGGCAGAGTGGAGTTGGCAAAACCAGACGAGACTGAAGAGATGGCATGGCAATAGAAGGCGCTGGACCCAGGCAATCATGCGATAATGGTAGCAGCCAGTGTATGGGGAGCGGACCAGTTCGGCTAAAACAGAGAGTGTGAGTTGAGAAAAACGTATGAGAAGCAAATTCAGACAAGCCGAACCAATCTAAATTTGCAAGGCACGGCAGAAACCATAGGTACATTTTTTAAAGATAATATTTATTAATAGCCAAAACAGAAAACAGCAGTTTTAAAGTTAACCCCCAAAATGTTTTTAATTTAAGTTTGTCTTACGTTAGCACTTGATAAAAGCAATTGATCACAGTGAGGAGGATTGTCGAAGCGTTTAGATAAGTGGTCAAATGATTACTCATCGCTCAAAGCAAATAATTATTTGCAAAAACGTACCGATAGAAACCTATTGTTAAAAAGGGGACGGCATCCCACATTTTGAGCCAAACTGAGATCCATATGTTTGTCAAAACTTAAATTAACCTTATGAAACCAATCTGGTCGGGTTCAGGGTAAGATTCTCCTTGTGCGTGTGTGTGTTTATGCATAAAATCGAAGATATTTTGATCTTATAAATTTGATTTGTTTTATTTTGTGAAAGCGCTCGATTACATTAAAAGAGTGGTTTTTTGCACTAATCTATGATTAGGCCTCAGGATGCCATTGCTCATTAAGGCCGGAATGGGCAACAGTCTTGACCTCGCCCGGGTCTCATCATAATCCAAAATGGGAGTCAAATCCGAATCGTGCGCTTTAAAGAGCAACGACATCACTCTGCGACATAGCAACCGACGTCAGTGTGTCATAGGGAAGATGTAATATACAAGGCATTGGCATTTCCGATGAGACTAACGGTATGCTTGTCATTAAAATCGAGGCGCTTATTTATGTTTATTTTAAGCATGTTTCGATATATGCTGTATCAAGACAACCATAGAAAGTCAATGCTCGGTCTGAGATTTCTCCATACTCACTACGGAAGGTGTGAATCTTCTACCCTATCATAATATAGAAAAAAGGATACAGGCATTCCGATATAAACTGTAATTTAGTCCTAGTCTTCTTCATGCACTTTCATTCGGAATGAAGGTCCTCCTAACATAGTCCTAACTCATTTGGATTAAGGTCACGGAGATGCCTAAACATCAGCAGCACTACTCATTTTTCTTGGCTCATCAACAGCTCAGTTCGTTGTGCAAACGGACGATCTGATTTGCCCGTAGTCCACTCGAAGTACTAGGAAACACAGTATTTATCTGCATTTCTGACACGGGGAGATCTTACTACCAGACCAATTAGTTCAAAATTGCTGACTGAATTGCTACATTGGGTTGCTGTGGAGGCAACACTTATGATCCAGCTTTGCAAGATTTAATCAACGATGAATTCAGCACACACTCTCTTAGCAACTCCATTAATTTCAGATGCGTCGTCTTTTTCTAAGAACACCTGCAGTCCAGCCGATGTGGTATCACCAAAGCGTAATATACATCATAGATGCCTACCTGCAACATGGTTGTCATGGCGGACAAGTGGCTTAAAAATGGAAGCCTTGCTGGTTATGTAGACTGTATTTCAGAGCTTCTCGTCAGCCTATTCACAATAAGCGTCCTATTTAGCTAGCATTAAATATTTCACTACGTCAACTCGTTTGAGTAAAAGGATGAATAACACATTTTTACAGTGATATGAGTTAGGGGAAAAAGCGAGGATTTTATCAAACCCTCCTGTTTCATTCTTCAGGATTGACTTGTTCGGATTGACGAAAGGCCCGGAACTACAGTCAAGCAATTTGTTTTTATGTATCTTGAAGTTCATTTTACCCCCATCTCGCTTTACATATAGGAAGAAGGCCTCGGCCCACCATCCAGCGATTCCAATAAACCCGTCCTGGGCTTTCATGTGCCATTTAACAGATATCGTCAAATTTTCTGTGTGGTCTTTGAGAGTAACAATAATCTAAGGAGCGATAATTGAGTTTTTCCATAATCCGATGAGTAGGCCATAGTTTCCAATGCATTACAGGGCATATGTGGCATATAGGACAAGACAAACCTTTGCTAAGAAAGATAGTATCGTGGGATTATCGATTAAGTATTTACCAGAACAATTGATGATACTACATATTCTCGATATAAGTAGTTTTAACGGCTATCGGTATTTCGTGAATCCACTCTGGATGAGATATATTTGGGGAAACAAGGCTGAGTGAAATTCAATGACACCATTATGGGAAAACAAAATCATCAGTCCTCTAATCACCGTATGCGAGCTAGGTTGACTAAGTTCTTAGCTAAGCATTTATATAAGTTGAAACCTACTCACAACGAATGTAATCGAATATTGTCATAATAACCCATTCAAGTAGAATGATCATATAAAGCAAATGTATGATATTTATGAATATGACTCATGTCGGTGCCCTCAGTTTTAAGACGTTGTTAAGGCCAGTAAGCAGTATTTACGAAAAATTTACTAAAACACCAAATCTTGCCCTCTTGATCTATCCTTCCAAGTTTATATCATCATAATTCATTGCTTTGTTCTATCAAAGTAACTGGGAAAGGGGAGAAAGCGAATGCAAGCCGAACTCCCTGAAAAGGTCATTCACATCGTGAGTCAACTTACTCATTTGTCACGAGTACATATTAGCATCGCCATCTCACAGTTCCACCTACACCAAACCAACGGAAGGCCAGACAAATTAGAGTAATAAGGGTGAATGAAAGCTTATCGATCGCGAAACAGCGCTCAGTCTAGCCGATGGTAGAATGGGTGTAAAATCGATCAGAGATTTAAACCGATCCACCTGCCTGCTGCACACCTGCCCAGCCGAATTCGTCCGTCATCGACTACCTTATACATCCGGTTAGATCGCCACTGTGAGGCAACTCATAGTATTGCCAGATATTATCTTATTTGTATTCAGTAGTAGCATTATTCGGAAGTGTCGGTGTTTATTGAGTCATAAGTCAGTAATATTTGGCCTCTCAAGATTGTTTAAAGACTGACAATGGTCCACTTGTATCATTTGTAGCAAAAACGTAACTATCAGCCCTTTAATCTTCTTAAGCCACCTCGGCTGACTGAGTTCGTATTATTTCGTTTTATTCTTGTAGATACTGGTATTTCGTATGAAAGGGCATGATGAGAAGGATCGTTGGTTGATCTGGCTGGAAGCTGACGTTGCTGCGCAACAGTTTGCCTTCAATACGCCTCTTATGTTGATGCAGTCGACGAGACATCCTTCCTCGTTTCGGATGAAAACGGGCTGGGTCCTCGTTCATCATGCCATTTGGCAGACACCGTCAAAGCTAGGGTTCGTTTCTGCAGGAGTTTCGAGTTTAAACTTGATCAAGATGACCACTCAGCTCTATCCTTTATGCTATATAACTAAAACTGGAATTATATAGATGTAGATAGAAGCTTAAAGAATAATTTAGTTAATTTGTAAATATAAAGGCCAAGATGTAGTGGCCTCAGTGTTCGTTGAGGTCTCTTTTCTCTGTAGAAAAGTGGTTTGACCTGTGGTCATTTTGTCAGGTCGACCTAACCTTGCCAAAGCGCTCTTCCTCAGCAGCCATGATAATTTCTCAGCGTAGAGCAGTGACTTTGTGAATGTAGCGAAAACCACCCAAATTATTTATTTATTTCGTAAATAGGAAGAGAAGGAATGTGACGTCTTCCATTTGGTCTCAGTCTCTTTTGATTCGACCTAGTTTTCGCAACTTGGTTGCAGCTTCAGGAAGAGACCTTGCTGAATGTAGCAGATCGCGTGTCGTCTGCCATGGCATTTTTTATTTCTAGCATCGGACCATTGACTTGGTGCATTACCAAACGTTTCGCCGGCATCGTATTAGGCGAGAGGTGCCATCGTCAGCACAGATATACAACTTATAAAAGTGACAAGTGAAAGCAATCCCCTTGACCAATTTTCTGTTCAACCGTTGTAGCATCACTCCTCGCCCCTATTTTGTGCTCTACCCTTTAGTGCTGTATCGCATTCTCTCAACCCCACTTCATATGGCCCATCTATCTATTTGCACAATGTTGTGCCCTTGTTTTCTCCAATGTCACCTAAGAGTATGTCACTACAAGTGGGTTGAGTGCAGCGCAATCATCTTCGCAACCGGTTCCAGATCCCGTTTGCAGGATTCCTGACCTTTATTCTGCCACCTCTTTCCCCTCCCTGGCTTGTCACTTAGTCACTGCTTTACATCAAAATCACTGTCTGCCTAAGAGCCCTCAATTCTCGCCCACGCTTGTGTCATATTCGAGGATTTAGAGCCAGTGATGTCCATGCCAAGGCATCTTCCTCTCCCTAGGTTTCTGACTCATCATCCATTTACCCTTTCTCTCAATTTTTGGGCTCTGTGTCCAGGTTAATTCGGAACCGTCATGCTGCTCAAGTACTACGTGAAATTGTCGCTGACTCTTCTCTCTTCCAATCTCCTGTTCATCAGGTTTCCTTAAAAGATGATGTCCACATTCTCCCTGATCTTTCGTTTTCTGGTGTTTTCCCATATGAGGCCAGTCTTCCGTTGCATTGAGTCAAATGTGTGCCTAATAAGGGCGATGTATTCGGCTACCTCCGATCATTCGGTATCCATTTTTCTGCATAGATGTTGGTGATCTTTGTTTGCAGTCCTTGCAGTTTATGCTGAAAACTCCGGTGCATTCCATTTTACTGACTATTTCATGTCAGGTAGGCAAGCTGTTGAAGAGGGTTGTCCTTTCCTATATGATTGAGTTAATATTACATTTCCATAGTGTAGGCCGTAGCTTCCGAGCCAATTCGCATGAGGGTAGCTATATCGATCGTTTTTCCTGTTTCTCATGTTTTTCTTTCATAATCCCCGTTTTCCATATATTTATCACGAGCCGTGTGTTACGTTGTATTGTTTCTTCTGGATATCCGTTTCCAAGATACATCTGGGTCAGTTTTTCCACTTCCTCTTCTTAGAACTCAAAATTAGTAAACCGCAGGCTTCTTATGACCATACTCCGGAATATTATAATCTTCATTTCATTCGTATTGGTAGACTAGAAGTAA